TATGGACCGGGGCCTCTGATTGTTGTTTACTTATGAGTTATTGGTGCTGGCCTGCCTGCTCCCCATTCACAGACTGTCAGCACACATATCCAGGGGTTCAGGGAAGGGAATTGCCAAAAGGAGCCATTCAGTGACTGAGGGCAGTTACCTGGGCTAAGATGCTATCCTGTGGGGGTTTCTGTGGATCTTGGGTGCTTTGTTCCCTGTGTGAAGCTGCTGGAAAAAAATACCAGCCATCTACTCTGTGCTACTCTGCTATTTATTCGGATGCCAATCTGTGGCCACGGTGGCTAAAGGGTTTCCAAAGCAGAGTCAGCCTCTGTCTAGGTGACTTGGAGGGTGGGCAAAGTTCACAGTCACCCTACAAAATCCTGTGCATTTAGAACCCCCTTGAAGAGAACTTTGAGGATCCTTATCACCTTCGTATGTGAACCATAACAGTCACATTCCCAGAGCTCCTATGTCGATAGGGAAGTATGTGCCACAAAGTCATGTTGAACAATGTCCCATGTCGGGCATATTCAGATGCAAAACTGTCCATGCAGCCTGTGGCACTGGGGTGTTACTGGCTCTTCAGGGATCACACAGAAAGGGTGCAGCTGAGTGGGTTGTGAACCAGCATCTTCTGAGAGCAGAGCTCTTTTAGATAGTGAAGTTAGCCATGGTAAAAAGAAATGTTCCCTTAAAAAAACACTTCTGAAAATGTAGGAACTATATCTGCAAATATAAGTGTGTACATATGGTATATTTAAACATATAAATACAGGCACTCACTTCACTTCCATGTGCTCTGTTCCCTGTGTTTTAAAAGCTAACCTTCCACACTACGAAGGAAGGTGGATTTTTGATAAATTTTTAATTTTCTGTATTGACTTGATCTTGCAAGAGCACGTAATTTTGCTGTATATAAGGCATTCATTCACTATGCATTCACACAGGCCTTTTTCCCCTTTTAACAGCCACCAAAGAGAAAGACATTGCTCATGCTGTGCTGGAAGCCGAAGATTTGCTCTTTGCCTTTACATTTAGCAGAGCTGTGGCTGAACAGAGGTTGCTGCAGTGGATCCGGCATCCCTGCCGGCCGGGACAGCCAAGCCAGGGAACAGTCACGTCAGCTGGGACTCGACCTGCCACCAAAGCAATTATGTGCTGCTGACTCAGGAGTGCTGGTGCTCAGCATCTTGGTACGGCGTGGAGCCATCTGGGCGGGATGGCAGAATGGAGAGTACCCAAAGACCGTTTTTGCCCTAGCCTTAGCCTGCTTTGGTGTGTGTCTTGCAGGCTCTTCGGGGAGAACAACATTGCCCTGCTAATGCTTTGCAGGTGATCTGGAGCTGAGACAGCTCCTCCCTGGGGTGTGCGGGAAATAATCCTGTAATTATAAAATAATCTTGGGTAATGGCATATTAATGAGAATGGGGAAAAGGTGATGTTCTCGGGGTGGGCTTTCCCACTGCTTGGAGGAGGAGGGAGGCTGTACACAGCTGCTGCTCTTTGGGGACAAAAAATGGCATCAAGGCAAGACTCGGGTGTAAAGCACCTCAGGAAGACAGATTGCCTTTCTGGCTCTGTGTTTGTTCTGTAAAATTCACGGTTGCTTATGCTGAAGGTGTTGCCTCTCAGATTAGCCACTCCCTGACCTGCTCTTTTGCGCCAATTCAAGCAAGAGCTTTTGGCTCCCCTTTCTATCCACGTCTCCTAGGCTGTATCATTTCTAACTCCCCTCATGGTGTCCTCTTTATCCCTCATCTTTCCAACCCATCAACTCCACCTTCCCCTGCTTTCCGCCCTAACAAGCCCCTTGCTCTTCTCTCTACCCCCTCAGCATCTTCCCTCACCTTTGTCCACCTTCTCCTCCACCTCCCACGAATGCCTCTTCTATTTTGAAGAGTGTCAGCCCGGGAGGATGGGAAGGATGGCACACGTGGAGGAGGTTGTGCTCCCCCATCTAATAACAGATGTATCAGACACCTTTCCCTTGAGATGGCAGCGTCTGGAAGCCCAAGACGAACCTTTCAACAAGATTAAAGAGATGGTATTAATTGCTATCGATCATGGGTCAACAAATTAAATTGCATCTGCAACTGCATCTCGGAAAGGTCTAAATGAGAAGAGTAGTTAATGGGTCTGGCTGGCCCAGAGGTGTGATTAATTAAAGGGAGAAATGAACTTAAACACTAAAAAAAATAATAAAAGGCACAAAGGAAGGAGATTGAGATGAGGCTGAAACTTTTTGGTTCAGAGAAAAAAAGGAGTATCTGGAGAGAGCTCAAAGGGATTTTAATTCTGGATCCGCCCTGTCTGGCTGGAGACCAGTTGCCATGACGCAGAGCTGGCAGCGATGATTTTCGAGGCTACAGCTCCAAGCACCCCAGATGCTGTGGAAACACTGCCCACCCATGACCGCTGACTCTTCCACATAAAACGCCCAGAAAAGCTGATCTGTGCCTGTTGCTCCTCCCCGCGACCCCAAACCTTGCCCCGCTGCCGCCTTGGTGCTTGGGGAGAGCTTGGGATCCCCCAGCGGAACCGTCTGCCTAACACCTCATGAAGACCTCACAGAAACACCTGTGATGGGATCTGCAGGGCTTCCCCCTCATTTCACCCAAACACATGCTCCAGCTCATGGTGCGTGGTCCTTGGGGCATCCCTCTGCCATCAGCTTTTCTTTTTTCCTTTTGTTTTTTTAGATTCAATGCCCTGAAAGTGTGAAGGGGAAAAAACCAAGCACCCCCATGTCGCTTAGCAATCCCACTCATCATAGATACTGCTCTTCCTGATCCCTTCCTGCGCAGCAGCCAGCAGCGCAGCATCCCGGTGGGAGCCGGGAGTAAAGTACTCCTGGGTGGGAATAAGGGCGCTACTGCGACTCCTTGGGAAGTAATGAAGTAGCACAGCATGGAGTGGAGATGGTGCTTAATTAATAATGAAGAAAATAATAATACGTGGCACGTATAGTGCTGTACTTGTTCCAAGCACTGTACAAACATTAACTACAGTAATTAAGCTGTAATTAATTAGAGTAACTACTAATCAGTGTAAATAATGATGCATCTGGAGGTACCAAATGGAGTTTGCGAACTGAAAGCAAATTTCCACGTTCAGGAAATGGCATCAAATATAAAATGGCACCAGAAAAAGACAAAAACATATGGCAGTTAAAGCGAGAGCCTGGGAGCCGTGTCAGTCCACGACGGCTCCCCAGAAGGGAATCCCGGTTTGGCAGGTATCTTGCGCCAAAGCAAAGCTGTTTTACTGATTTACTGCTGAGGAGCTCCCCGGGCAACCCATCCCAGCCGCAGGACTTTCGCAGCTATCTCCAGGCTCCAAGCTCGCTCCTCCCACCCCAGCTGTGTTGCTGCACTCACCAACACTGCAGAGAGCTGGGGGCCGGAGCAAGGGATGGAGAATTAGGAGCTCGAGAAGATCAGCAGATTACAATACACCACAAATATCTAATTTGGGGTGTTTTTTTTGCTGGTTCACACACTTTATATTTAACAAAATAATTTTTTAATAATATAGTCTTTTACACATCAAATATTGTTTCCAGACCTCCCATTTTTACAGAATAGGGTTTTTTTTTCTCACTAGTTTCAGGCACACTATTGTTTAAAAATTTTGAAACCGGATAGTCATTGACAGGCAACAGCTTACAAAGAAATGTGGCAATGACTTATTTAATGGAACCAGTTCAAATCGCAGGAAGCCAATGCTCAGCCAAAATATGGCAATCACTGCGCCAGTGCTCGTCCTACACCCTGCCCTCTGGTAAAACGCAAAAAATGGGGAAGAAATCAACACATAAAGGCAACAGTGTGCATAAACCCATAAACTGAGACCAACCATTCTGACCCGCTTCGGTGGATGATGCTGTAAGGAGGATTTGCTGCTGTCACTGTCAAGAGCAGGTGCTGGACTGAAGTCTGCACGAAATAAGCACCGTCACCCCAATGGCCATGACCAAACAAGCAGCAAACCAAGCGTGGACAGTGATGGGAAAGGCTCTTGTGCTCACCTGGCCAGGGCAGAGAGGGGAAATGACAGTGCTGGCTTTTCTCTCACAGTATCGCTCGGAAGCCGCAGCCTGGGAAACCAAGAGGTGTCGGTGCCGAAAAGCCCGAAGAGGACCCTCGGCTGCTGGCGGGGATGGTGGGGACCGTCCTGCCTCTGCTCCCCCACCGACGCCCCGGCTGGGTGTCACACAGAGACAGCCCAGAGAAGGCGTTGCTTTCTTGGTGCCTTTCCAACGACGCTGGCTCGTGCTCCGCTCAAGGTCACGGTGACTGTGTAGGTGTCTTCGACTTTATTGTCCCCACTCAGTGGAGAAAGTGTAACACAGATACAGCTGGTGTCTTGGGTGTCCGGTCGTATACCTGTGCATCTAGCTCGGCCCTTCTGCACATTACATTCCAGCTGGGTTTCTTTTAAACCCCTTCCTCCCCTTTTAATTTCTATCTCCCTCCTGTCCTTACCAGCCCCCCACCCCAGACATCACAAAAATGATCCATCGCTTCACTCGTAGCTGTATTTCCCCAATGATCCCAGCTTAGGAAGAGGCTTTAAGAAAATAAAAACCACAATAGCAAAAAGATCTTAAATAAATAAATGTGAAAACCCTGCGATCCACAGGTGAGAGGTGAATTGATCAGCAGCTCAGAGGTGTCACCAGTCCAAGAACTGTGGGGGCTATTTTTGCTTTTTCCTCCCGAAATCTGACCACCACATCCCTACCAAGCACTGATAATTACAAAAGCAGAGTAGATACCTAGATACCGGTTACATAGTGTGTAAAGCGAGAGAAGAGCAGGAGAGGGGGGAGAGGGAGACCCTTCCCCACGTGTAAAAATCTCTGCTTGTCTGAAACCCTCGCAGGTTTTGCTGGTGACCCTGTTGCAGCTCGCAGGAGGTCAGACACATGTGCAGCATCGAAGCTGTCCCTGCCCCATCATCATCGTCATCATCGGCAGGTGGTTTGCCGCTGGCAGGGGGGTTTGCCGCTACAGAGCCTGCTTGCCCTGGCACTCGCGCTTGGAGCACTGCGCCGGCTTCCACCAGTCCCCGTTGTGGCAGTGGCAGAGGTTGCAGTCGTCCACCTTCACTTCGATGCCGGCGGGAATTATCGTGGTTCCTGCAAAGCAGTTCGGACCTGCAAAAACACACGGGGGTAACAGAAATAAATACCCTTTTTTGTCGTTAAAAAACGACAGCAGCTCTGCTAGAAGCACTCGGGAGCAGGCAGGTGCTGAGCCCCAGCCCCTCACTGTGCTCTGGCTGCAACCCTCCCAGCTTTGCCCCACGGCGACCATTTGTCTCGGGTTTTTTTTTTCAGTGCCCTCAGGCACTAAAGAAAAAAATATATGCCTTGAAAGTTTCCTCCTCCTGTTTCTGTACCCAACCACTTGTAGAAATGGTGTCGATGCACCCAGCTTTTTCTACTCAGTTGCCCACTAATTTATTATTGCTTTCTCCTAAGATCTGGCTGCAAGACAGACAAGACAATGAGGACAAGCACCAGGATACTGCCCAGCCTTTGCTGCTTTAGCCCGGTGAGCCTGTGCTGAGCTGCAGGGACCAGAGCTGATTCATCCCCCAGGACGACAGCAGCCGTGCCCAAATGCCCAGTAACCCCGGGAGCCCTCCCAGTTCGGGGCTGTTAAGCATAAATGATTGATGGCATCAGATTAACAAAAATCATTCACTTCCCAAATTAGCTTTCTGATAAAATCAGTTTTTTTCTCAAGGGCAATTCCTTTAATCTGCTAATTATTGGTAATTTGGGGGCTTCTTTATTACACCATATCAAAGCTGAGCAGCAAGTCAGCAAGGATCTTGTTTTCCTCCTTTTCATAAAACCCCCAGAACAACCCATTGCTCAGCCGTCCCTCTGCAAACACTATCCTCCTTCCCTCTGGCTCCTGCATCAGTTAATGCTGGGAATTAATGTCAAAGCCAGCAGCACACGGAAAAAAAAAATTGGGGTGGTCGCATCCGTGGCATCAGGGAAGTGTGAAGACATTTGAAAAGTGTCTCATGGCTCGAGTGCTGCTTCAAAATGCCACCCCTTGGCTGGCCACTGATTTTAATCTATGCTTCCAGTGCACAAGGCGCATTCAGAAGATGAGAGTGTGTACAGACGTGAAACAGCAGGCAAGTCCTTAGTGCTTAAAATAAGGCTTAAGACTGTTTAAAAGGGAAAACGGGGTCCCTGCGTGGCTGGAAACAGGCTGAGCTGTAGCCAACCTACACAAGTGTCTCAAGTTTTATAGTCTCGGAGAACTATTCATTCCATCTCACTGATTTATGAGTACTCTGACTTTAAGATGCTCCTTGGGACGCTACGCTTAAGCTCAACAGGCCATGAGTTTGACAAGGCTGGGCTTAACCAGACGTTGGCAATTCAGGTGTCTGAATGTGGTTTGTGTTTAAGCGCTCTCCCGCCTTTACTAAAGGCCTCTTCAAATGCCGATCAGCTCTACAGCAAATTTTCACATCCGTCTTAATGAAGCCACAGCAGAAGGGCCGGAGAAAGGTGCCTCTGATGGCTCTGGTACCAGAATTTGGGGTGACTGGGTGTACCCCAGGGCTACTGCTTCCTTCCACAGGCAGCACCTGGGAAGGCAGGCTGTGGCGCTGGGAAGGTCTGTGTCTCTCCGTGAAAGGGGGGTGATGCCTCCTCCTTCGCCTGGCCAGCACATGAATCTGTCAGAACGCCAGGAAGAAGCAGGCTTTTGCTCCAAACAAGGAAATTCAACATTACTTGTTGAGCTAGAGTTGAGGCTACGCTGGTCTGCTGGCACTGGAGCGCACCACCAGTGCACTGGGTGGGGGAATATTTTAACTCTGCTTTGAGCTGGGCTTTGGGCTGGACAACCTCCAAAGGTCCCCTTCAACCTCAGTCATTCCACAGTGCAAAGAACTTCAAAGCCAGGAGTTACCAGTCAAGGACACGCAGCGATACAGAAAAGCCAAACTCTACGTACATGCACACATATATATATACTATGTTTTTCTTTACATGCATGTGGTTGAAAAAGTCATGACCCGTTTCGGTCACGAGCTGAAAATTGCCAAAGTTGGCATCTCTCCGGAACACACGATCCCAGTTGGAAAGGCTGCGATCCCCACTGCGGTATTTCTCTGTCAACCCACTGAAGTTGTCACATCTTCCCATGGCCTTCAGGTCCCTGCGCTAGCCATGCCGCTGCCTGTGCTCTTCATCACAGATTTTAGTCCTCTGCTTCATCACGTGTGGTGGGTGTTGGTGTGTGATGACAGCCAGCACGGGCTTTGCCATCAGGTCTGCTCATTTGCTGCTGTTAAAAGTCCAGGGTTTAAATGCAGAGAAAATGCCAATAACTGTAGCTTGTCATATTTAAAGTTGAGGTAAGCACCTGTCCCTCTTGCATAGGATGCTCTGATTGCCTGCTGCTGTCGGGGATGCCCAGGATGGGGCAGCCTCCACAAAACATCGTGCTCCACGCTCCACACTCCCAGGGCAAAAAAACCAAAAAGCTTCCTCTGGAGATTAGGGTGGCAAGGAGAGGGGAGGCTTGTTGCTCTGTGGCTGCCTGTTAATCATCTGATTTGAGAAGCCAGTACTGCCTCGCCACCCACACGCGTCTCCAGACACAGCCTTCTCCAGGCGCTGAACAACGGCAGATTTATAGCACCAAGGGTGAGTGAGTTGGGACTGGCCGATGGGGAACTGCAAACTGAGGAAAAGCTTATTTTTCATTGCATGCTGCTTATCTGTCCATCTCATAGCTGCTCCATCACAGCCACAGCTGCCCTTCCCTCTCCTCCCAGGAGCAGCCCCAGGTCCCTTCTCCCTCTTGGGCTCTCCTGGGACGGGTCATTTGGAGAAAAAAAATCATTAAACACCATGAATGTCCCCATCCCAGAGCTGAGAAGCAGAAAGCAGACACCACGATGAAAAGAGGAGATGGATGAGGGGGATGTACTGAAAACACCGCCCACGCCCTTGAGGTCCCCAGCAGAGAGGGGATCACTCATTTTTGGGGACAGTAACCCAGCAGCAGCATCCCTGCCCCAGCAAAGGACACAGGGCAGCTCTACAAAATAGTAATTAAACACTAGTAATCTGCCTCTCTGATCTCTGGCATCTATTGAGCCAGGAAGGACCTGGCAAGCGCCTCCGCAACTAACAGAAAATCCTTGGGATGCTGCCATCCCCCCAACAAAAAGTCTGGCTGAAGGAAAGAGGAAAAAATTATGCCTATTTTGGATAAATTGCAGGGACTGCAGGCTGGGAGGAGCATCGTGGGATAGCCAAACCAGCCCTCGCTGAAGCAGCACCGAGGATCCCTGGGCTGGCCAGCTAAACATCACCTCAGCACACCTAAGGCAGGCGATGTATTCGGAGGCTGAACTGAGGGAAAAATTACAAGTAGGTTTGTTTTCCTTTCTATTGGCTTTTAGCAAAATGGATGAAAACCTGGCTTTGGGCTCTACTGACATCTGCCCTCTTATGAGATATTTTACTGCCGTTTCGGAAGATCCATCTCTCCTGTCAGACCTTAGTACTTTTAATTTAGGCCAACACACTGCTCTGGACCCTTTCTTTTCCCCCAGAGCTCTCTCAAAATAGCCACCTCTGCATTGCCAAAGTGAAATATTTCCTTTCGCACATCGCAGCAAGCTGGATGGAGCATTTTTGCATCCTCTGCTATCCCCACCCCTATAGAAATGTGGATTTCAAATGGAAGGCAAAATTTCCACACTCCATTTCTGATAATTCAACTTAAACTCCCACTGACTGGAATCACTGAAATCCAATTTTCCAGCACAATCGCTGTCAGCCAGCCCCCTTTTTCCCATCTAAGCTTCTCCCACCTTTATAATGGAAAAGTGGATCCTGTTGGTCCAAAATGGGAGGCAGTGAGCATTGCACCGGAGAAAGATGCACTTGGAGAGGGACACTGCACTGCTAAAATTTAGTGGAAAATATGTCCCAGACAAGTGGCATTTTCTATGCAACACACAGCCACCAGGGAGTTCTCCAGCGACCTTGGGTTTTACAGAGCCGGCACTGCTGGAGACAACATCCAGCACCGGGGATGCGATGTGGCTTTGCGATGTGCCTTGGAGGAGCCATGAGGCCATGACTGCATCCCACAGCAAGAAACAAAATCCTTTTTTCAATTCACAGCAGAGCTAACCAGATTCCTTTAAGTTCTGTAATACTTTTTTTCCCTCCCTTAGATCACCCTCCTAACATTTCAAAAGCTGAGTGCCCCAAATCCACACTGCTGGGGACTGTCCTGAGCTTTTCCCACCGTGGCTTTGTGCTCCTCGGAGGAGCAGGCTGAGACCAGGATCTGCCAAACTGATGTGAAAAAATCACAAAGAATGGGACAGAACAGCAGAGTAACATGTTTTTTTTATTGTTTTTCAAAGGAAGATGCTGCTCAGGAACACTAGACATGTCAAGCACATCAAGAAAGTTACTCATGATAATAGCAGTAGGAACAAGAAGCTGCTTTGGGCAAGGCTTGTCGTCCTGGTCTTTGTAAAAGCATCTTTACCCGCGACTGCAATGGAAACAGGACAGTAATCACCCTTTTTGCCTTGCTCAGGGAGACTGATGGGAGAAGTTTGCTGCTCCCACGGATAATGTAATTGTGAGACTTGCTTTGCTTAGCATAATTAATACTCATAAAAGACCACAGCACTCCGGGCTGTTTGCGAGAACAACTGTGAAGATTTTTATGGAGATATATTAAAGACATTCAGATGCTCTTTTGATGGCAGAGATGTAGCGCAAAGAGAAAAGTCACATATGGTTTGTTGTTTGGGAAGAGTGATGGCAAATTTCACAACTGTACGTGTAAGACCAGGTACCTGGGTGACAACCCATGTTGTGATACTAAACTGCACCACCGGTACGGAGGGACTACACCTAATCCCATGTGTGGGCATTAATGCAGGCCTGATACATCATGCAATGACACCCAAGGGTGTGAGATGAAGTCCTCCTGGGACTCAGTGGCATGGTGAGGCCTAAAAGCACCTCAAAAGCCCCTGGATCTGATGCTCCTTATAATGCTGGAAAAAACTCACATCCCAAACACAAGAGGAGCAGCCACCCAAGCTCTCCAGCACACTATGTCTTCTGCACGGTCCCCA